ATCAATATTATCAATAAAGCTCCTCAGTGACAGGTTCTCCTCACTCCCAGCCCCTCCCCCTCCAATAATCAATATTATCAGTAAAGCTCCTCAGTGACAGGTTCTCCTCACTCCCAGCCCCTCCCCCTCCAATAATCAATATTATCAGTAAAGCTCCTCAGTGACAGGTTCTCCTCACTCCCAGCCCCTCCCCCTCCAATAATCAATATTATCAGTAAAGCTCCTCAGTGACAGGTTCTCCTCACTCCCAGCCTCCCCTCCCCCTCCAATAATCAATATTATCAGTAAAGCTCCTCAGTGACAGGTTCTCCTCACTCCCAGCCTCCCCTCCCCCTCCAATAATCAATATTATCAGTAAAGCTCCTCAGTGACAGGTTCTCCTCACTCCCAGCCCCTCCCCCTCCAATAATCAATATTATCAGTAAAGCTCCTCAGTGACAGGTTCTCCTCACTCCCAGCCTCCCCTCCCCCCCCCTCCAATAATCAATATTATCAATAAAGCTCCTCAGTGACAGGTTCTCCTCACTCCCAGCCTCCCCTCCCCCTCCAATAATCAATATTATCAATAAAGCTCCTCAGTGACAGGTTCTCCTCACTCCCAGCCTCCCCTCCCCCCTCCAATAATCAATATTATCAATAAAGCTCCTCAGTGACAGGTTCTTCTCACTCCCAGCCTCCCCTCCCCCCCTCCAATAATCAATATTATCAATAAAGCTCCTCAGTGACAGGTTCTCCTCACTCCCAGCCTCCCCTCCCCCTCCAATAATCAATATTATCAGTAAAGCTCCTCAGTGACAGGTTCTCCTCACTCCCAGCCTCCCCTCCCCCCTCCAATAATCAATATCAGACATCCCCAGATATCAATACCTGATCACTGACCTCCAATCTGATCTCCAGACCCCACACTGCAGATCCCGGGCTGTTTACTGTATCCTAGCAACGGCCGGGGACTCCGGAAACTGCTCTCACCGACCGAGCATGTGCAGACAGAGACTGCGTGACTCGCTCCGCCATGTTGGATGAGGGCAAAGGAAAGTTCGATTTCCTGAAATCTCTGTAAAACATCACTTGTCTCGGGCAGACGTTTACCGGGAAACAAATGTCCGTCTATGAGGCGTGACAGAAAGGAATATTCCGAGCCCGCGACTCGGACAGGAAGTGACGGAGATGTGTAGTTCTCACAGATCGCCACTAGATGGCAGCAGAGTACAGAAAGTGTGGAATTCATCATAGAAAAAGTTTTGTAAAACATTAATTATATAAATAATCATTTCTTTTTAAAAAACAATCATATATATATAGTTAAAAAATGTATATAGATATATATATATATATATATATATATAATGTTCAGAACGTTATATAAGGGCAGTCACACCAATACTGATTACAGGATATGGGGGGAGGGGGTCACCCCAAATAGTGATTAGATTTGGATTCCTCTTCTCCTCCTTTACTCTCCACTTTAGTAATTGATAAAAAAATAAACTATTAACACTTTGATTTCTGAAAGCATTCTTCAGTCACAGCATTTTTCACACCCGCCTAAGACTGGGGTGTGTGTGTATATATATATATGTACACTATATTGCCCCAAGTATTGGGCCTCCGGCCTTTCCACACACATGACCTTTAATGGCCCCCCAGTCTCAGTCAGTCTGTAGATTTCAATACTGAGTTGGCCCCACCCTTTGCACCCACATGACCTTTAATGGCCCCTCAGTCTTATGCAGGCCATAGATGGGTTGAAAATCGGCTGATTTTTCGGCCGAAAATGAAATCGACCGATTTTCGGATCATTAGTGGGTTAATTGTTCGGCCGTTTTTCGGTATTTTGGCAGATTTTTTTTATCGGTAAAATTGGAAAAAGATCGGCTGATTTTGCCGATCGGCTTATTTTCGTGGCAATGATGGGCGAATCGGCCAATCTTTTTACATATAAAAAATCTGTGCATGAGCCATGACCTGCAAGAGGAAGACAAAAAGAAGAGAAAGAAGAAGAGGATGATGAAGAAGAAGAGGAGGATGATGATGAAGAAGAGAAAGAAGAGGATGAAGAAGAAGAGGAAGAAGAGGATGATGATGAAGAAGAGGATGATGAAGAAGAGGAGGAAGAAGAGGATGAAGAAGAAAAAGAGGATGAAGAAGAGGATGAAGACAAAGAAGAAGGGGAAGAAGAGGATGAAGAAGAGGATGAAGAAGAAGAGGATGAAGAAGAGGATGATGAAGAAGGAGGATGAAGAAGAAAAAGAGGACGAAGAAGAAGAAGGGGAAGAGAGAGGATGAGGAAGAAGAGGATGAAGAAGAGGATGAAGAAGAAGTGGAGGAAGAAGAAGAAGAGGATGAAGAAGAGGATGATGAAGGAGGATGAAGAAGAAGAGGAGGAAGAAGAGGATGAAGAAGAAAAAGAGGAAGAAGAAGAAGGAAGAAGAGGATGAAGAAGAAGAGGAAGAAGGATGAAGAAGAGGATGAAGAAGAAGAGGATGAAGAAGCAGAAGAGGATGAAGAAGAGGAAGAAGAAAGGATGAAGATGAGGAAGAAGAAGAGAAGAGGATGAAGAAGAGGAAGCAGAAGTGGATGAAGATGAAGATTGGGCCCCGTTGTTGGTGTCATTAGAAGGAATTTTACCTCATCATTGGGTCCCATTGTTGGTGTCAGTAGGGGGAATTGTGCCCCACCATTGGTTTCATTGGGCCCTATTGTTGGTGTTTTTGGGAGGAATTTTACCCCATCATTGGTGTTAGTGGGAGCAATTTTGCTCCATCATTGGGAGGAATTGTGCCTCATCAATGGTGTCATTGGGTCCCATTGTTGTTGTCGTCATTGGGCCCCCATCAGTGGTTTCATTGGGAGGAACTGTACCCCATCATTGGTGTTTTTGGGTCCCATCATTGGTGTTAGTGGGAGGAATTGTGCCCCATCATTGGTTTCATCGAGCTGCATTGCAGTTGTCATTGATAGGAATTATATCCCATCCTTAGTGCTACTGGGCATCATCACTGGTTTCTTTGGGAGGAACTGTACCCCATCGTTGGTGTCATTATGAAGAATAGTGGCCCATCATTGGTGTCATTGGGCCCAAACATTGGTTTCAGTGGGAGGAATTGCGCGGCATCATAGGTGTCATTGAGAGGACCTGTGTCCCATCATTGGATGTCATTGAGAGGAATTGTGCCCCAATGAAATAGCAGATGAAAAAGTACCTCAAGGGCCAATCAAAGCAAGAAAAAGGGCCACATCTGGCCTCTGGCTTGGAGACCACTGCCTTAGTACACCCCTCCCCCCTTTAAATAACCAGAACACCACATTCAGTCTGTAAGCATTTTATTCTTTTTATTATTATTTTGAGGATTGTTGAGAAAGACAGTTAATAAAAAATAAAGCACTTGTCCAAAAAATTGGACATTTTCTTTCTTCCGTAACACAGGTAAAAACAAAGTAGTCGCAGTATTAACAATGCAGCTTCAGGGGGCGCTGGAGCTGTGACTGTCTGCAGAGCCACCGCATGATGGAGGCGTGTCCGTGACCGCACTGTCCAATCAGAGCACAGCGTATGCACCAAGATACACGAGAGGATTGTTGGAGAAGAGATGATACAATGCTGCATTTTAGGAAAGGTCCACAAAGCCGACTTCATATGGTAGAACTCGATCTAAAACACATTGTTTTTTAAAGGTGGACCGGAGAAGGGTCAGAATAGCTTTCTATTGTTACCACTCCCCATTTGGGAAATTCATCTTACTTCCTGTTGTGTTACCTGGACAGGAACTGAAGTCTCCTCGGTGGGGGCAATAAAAACTTGGGTGTGCGAGGAGGAAAACGCCAAAAGCACAAAGTGTAAAGTCCAGCTTTGATCTTATAAAGCAACTAACGCGTTTCAGCCGGCAGGTCTCCCTTCATCAGGGCTTGGTACTGATACCATTGGAGGGGTACTAAAAGGTGATTTGTCTGCCCTTGAATTGTGTTTTGAAGGTTTAACCACTTCCCCTCCGGCCCATGTATATCAACGACCTCCCTGCCCCCTGCTTGTGCACGCTCCCTGGGACACAGTGGAACACCGATCGCTGTACAGGACCTCTGTGCGAGGTCTCAATCATGTGATCACTGATTGGCCAATCAGTGATCACATGAACAGTAGTAAGCAAGATGTCACTTCTGCCATCATTGCTTATTACGTGTGAAGTCTGAATGATCACAGAGATCACATGGTACATGGCTATTAACAGCAGCCTTGTACCATGTGACAAGCTGTGACCAATCACAGCTCTCACAGTATTTCTCAATGGCTGCAGGAATGCAGACAGAGAGAAAGAGAAATGATTCCTCTTACAGCCTTTATGGGTATAAAAGCAATTAGTGTTAAAAAAAAAAATAAAATCTTCATCACCCCCCACAAGTAGTGCAGTGTCACCATGGTGACCCTACTGCTAGGGTGACAGTATGTAAACAAAAAAAAAAATAGTAATATAAAAAAATAAAATAAAAATGTAAAAAATTTTTTTGAAAAACTAGAATTTTTGGTTCTAAACTAATTTGGGTTATTTTATTTATTTTTTTACTAAAAAGATAACGGAATAAATTTTGGCCAAGATTTATGAAGAAAGATTTATTTGCAAAATTTTATAAGAAAAAACACTTTCAAAATTTTTGGACTTTTTCATTTATATAGCAAAATAAATAAAAATCCCAGCGGTGAATAAATACCACCAAAATAAAGCTTTATCTGTCTCAAAAAATTGCTAAAAAATTCATCTGGGCACAGTGTTGCATGACCGCGCAATTGTCATTCAAAGTGTGATAGCGCTGAAAGCTGGCTTGGGGGGGGGGGGGGGGGGGAAGTGTCCGGACTGGAAGGGGGGGGGGAGTGTCCGGACTGGAAGGGGGGGGAGTGTCCGGACTGGAAGGGGGGGGGGGGGGGAGTGTCCGGACTGGAAGGGGGGGGGGGGGGGGGGGGAGTGTCCGGACTGGAAGGGGGGGGGGGGGGGGGGAGTGTCCGGACTGGAAGGGGGGGGGGAAGCGTCCGGACTGGAAGGGGGGGGGGAAGTGTCCGGACTGGAAGAGGGGGAAAGCGTCCGGACTGGAAGGGGGTTGAAAGCGTCCGGACTGGAAGGGGGTTGAAAGCGTCCGGACTGGAAGGGGGTGGGGGGGGGGAAGTGTCCGAACTGGAAGGGGGGAAAGTGTCCGGACTGGAAGGGGGGGAAGTGTCCGGACAGGAAGGGGGGGAAAGTATCCGGAGTGGAAGGGGGGGGGAAGTGTCCGGACTGGAAGGGGGGGGGGGGGGAAGTGTCCGGACTGGAAGGGGGTGAAAGTGTCCGGACTGGAAGGGGGGGGTGAAAGTGTCTGGACTGGAAGGGGGGGGGGGGGAGTGTCTGGACTGGAAGGGGGGGGGGGGGGAAGTGGAAGTGTCCGGACTGGAGGGGGGGGGGGGGGGGGGGAAGTGTCCGGACTGGAAGGGGGGGGGGGGAAGTGTCCGGACTGGAAGGGGGGGTGAAAGTGTCTGGAATGGAAGGGGGAGAAAGTGTCCGGACAGGAATGGGGGGGAAAGTGTCCGGACTGGAAGGGGGTGAAAGTGTCCGGACTGGAAGGGGGGGAAAGTGTCCGGACTGGAAGGGGGGGGGGGGAAAGTGTCCGGACAGGAAGGGGGGGAAAGTGTCCGGACAGGAAGGGGGGGGAAAGTGTCCGGACAGGAATGGGGGGAAGGTGTCCAGACTGGAAGGGGGGGAAAGTGTCTGGAATGGAAGGGGGAGAAAGTGTGTCCGGACAGGAATGGGGGGGGAAGTGTCCGGACTGGGGGGGAAAGTGTCCGGACTGGAAGGGGGGGAAAGTGTCCGGACTGGAAGGGGGGGAAAGTGTCCGGACAGGAATGGGGGGAAAGTGTCCGGACAGGAAGGGGGGGGAAAGTGTCCGGACCGGAAGGGGGGAAGGTGTTGTGACCGGACCGGAAGGGGGGGAAAGTGTCTGGACTGGAAGGGGGGGAAAGTGTCCGGACTGGAAGGGGGGGAAAGTGTCGGAACTGGGGGGGGGGGGGGGGGGGGGGGGGGGGGGGGGGGGGAGTGTCCAGACTTGAAGTGGTTAAAGGGTGTCCCATCATCAGGGCTGAAGATGCTTAACTGGTATCTGGAGTCCTAATGAAGGGTGGCCCTTTGAACCCCCAAAACGTGTTGGCTTTATATAATACAAGTATCTAAATAAAATGAAAATTTGGACTCTATAAGTTCTACTTTAGGCTCTTTCCTCCTCGCACCCCCCAGTCCCTAATTGAACCAACCTTCAGCCACCAGTCCTGGAGGAACTGGCCAAGTAGAATCCCTCCCACCACAAAGCTTAGGACCCGAGTCCCAGCATTTACCATGTTGAGGGGTTCATTCACACGGGTGGTTTAGAGTCAGTTTACCAACATTCAGGAAGCGATAATCCCGCCTCCTGGAGGCCAGATTCTCTTTTTACACTCCAAGGAGGATTTGTCGTTAAAATGGCGACCACGATGGCATGCCGAGCGATTAACACACACTTGTGGGATGGTCCTACTACCTTCAAAGGGAGAGTTCGGCAGGCAGCACCTCCTATATGAACTTCCTGCACCACGAAGGAAAGCAAGGTGGCCACAGTCACGAGAGTCCACCATGTCACCTTGTAGGCAACATTCTAAGAGATCCGACACCCTACACCTTTCCAGGAAGTAAAAACCTGACAGAGCTTTCCCTACCAACCTTTCCCTACTTTATCCGAAAAAAAAGGGAAAACATGGCTGAAGGTCCACTTTAATCCTTTTGCTGAAAGACAAACAAAATACAGCAAATAAAAAGTATTATACATGAAGAGAAGCACCAGTGTGGGGATTCCTTCCAGTGGTAGAGGGAAGCACATGGAGAGGTTCAGCTCAGTGGGCCGGGTCCTTGTGAATGAGCCCAAGTTCTGGGAGCCGCGCTGAGATCCATGGATGGACTTGGCCTTCTGCCGCTTCTTGGCATCAAGACTGGAGACCTTGTTCACGCTTCTCTTGACTCAACACAATTATTATTCATCTCAACTGCAGCAAATTCTAAAGCCAGAAGTCTATATCGCATATTAAAAACACTAAATGTAACAATTTGCCCAGTCACACCCACCAATCAGATCTGTAGCTTCCATCAGCTCAGAGCATTTAGGAAAATGAAAGCTGCTTTCTCATTGGTTGTTCGGGGGATGACTACACATTGCTCTTCGTCTTATTAGGGGCCTGTGTTGATGGGCTTTTGATTGCAGCAGGTGGGTTATGCATTTTCATACAAGTCTGAGGAAATACTAAATTCACTTGCAGCAGGTCGAATGCAGGTCATAAGGAAGTCAACTGCAGGTCAAATGCAAGTCATAAGAAAGATAGCTGCAGGTCAGATGCAAGTCATAAGGAAGATAGCTGCAGGTCAGATGCAAGTCATAAGGAAGTCAACTGCAGGTCAAATGCAAGTAATAAGGAAGTTAACTGCAGGTCAAATGCAAGTCATAAGGAAGTCAACTGCAGGTCAAATGCAAGTCATAAGGAAGTCAACTGCAGGTCAAATGCAAGTAATAAGGAAGTCAACTGCAGGTCAAATGCAAGTCATAAGGAAGTCAACGGACGTTCAAATGCAAGTCATAAGGATGTCAACTGCAGGTCAAATGCAAGTCATAAGGAAGTCAGCAGCAGGTCAAATGCAAGTCATAAGGAAGTCAACTGCAGGTCAGATGCAAGTCATGAGGAAGTTAAATGCAGATCATAAGGAAGTAAACTGCAGGTTGAATGTAAGTCATAAGAAAGTCAAATGCAGGTCATACGGAAATCAACTGCAGGTCAAATGCAGGTCATACGGAAATCAACTGCAGGTCAAATGCAGGTCATAAGAAAGTCAAGTGCAAGTCATAAAGTCAACCGCAGACCAAATGCAGGTCATAAGGGAATTCAACTGCAGATCATAAACAAGTCAAGTGCAAGCCAAACGCAGGTCATAAGGGAAAGTCGACTGCAGATCATAAGGAAGTCAACTGTAGGTCGAATGCAGGTCATAAAGAAGTCAAAGGCAAGCCGTATGCAAGTTATAAGATGTCACCTGCCGATCATAAGGAAAGTCAACTGTAGGTCATAAAGAAGTCAACTGCAGGTCAAATGCATGTTATAAGAAGCCACCTGCAGATCATAAGGGAAGTCAACTATAGGTCATAAAGAACTGCAGGTTGAATGCATGTCATATGGAAGTCAAATGTAGGTCATAAGGAAGTCAACTGCAGGTGAAATGCATGTTATAAGGAAGTTGAATGCAGGTCATAAAGAAGTCAACTGCAGGTCGAATGCAAGTCATATGGAAGTCAAATGTAGGTCATAAGGGAAATCACCTGCAGGCTAAAAGCAGGTCATAAGGGAAGTCAACTGCAGTTCAAATGCAGGTTATAGTGAGGTCAAATGCAGGTCATAAGGAAGACAACTGCAGGTCTTCTGAATTTTAACTGATCTCAGAAGCATCTCAAACCAATGCCATCCACACAAGCCCAAAGCCTGTCAACAGGACTCCTAACTAAGAACCTGAATGTTCAAAAAAGATTTAACAATTATCTATAAGCTCTCTAAGTATTAAATATTTCAGGGTCAGCGATTAAAAGAACAAACTGCTGTTACCATTACTGACCAATAGGTGGCGATCTTAGGCCAAATCATACTCGCCGACCCTCGCGGACAACGTAGAAAGTTGTAAACTCTTTAGGTCAGGATTGGTCAGGATTGGAACGTTCACAGCTCTATATTTCTGATAAAACCTTGTGGTATCGTAAAGGAGAAGAGCTCCGCAAAATCCAGGGTGCCGTGTGATATTCATTCATTCATTGGTGTCCAGGAATTAGGGGGTCACGAGTTTGAACATAAATGCTGACCCCCTTTGACGTCTATGTCTGACGAAAGGCTTGGCCGTTTCAGGAGAGCTCTCTTTACCCCGACACCTGGATTTAAAGGTTTCCCCACCGCTTGGGGCTGCCGCTTTTCGTGGGAGGGGAGCAGGACAACAGATATTAAGCGTTCCCATAAATAGGGGTTGGTTCTTCGTTCACGGTGAGATACGTGGCCCTCATGCTGGGAGAGTACTGGGGGGAAATATAAATATAAAAAAAGGTTACACAAAGGATAACAATGAGAAAAAATACACACAAAACATACAGAAGCAATAACAGTGATGAGACTTGGGAGGCTAGACATGGATAGAAGGTTCTAAGATCTAACAAAGGGACTTCAGCTTGGAAAGTTTAAGGGGAACCTGTTCTGGATTGTTAGCTTCGGGGCCCCCACTCCTGCAAACAATGTTCATGTGTTGATGCACATTGCGTTACGTCAGCCCGCTTCACTCTTAATGAGCCTCAATGCATAGAAAAAATGGTACCTTTTGGCCAAGGTAGGGCACCAACAAGTGTGAAGGGGACCTTAGAGTGTACCTGCCAGAAACAATCAACAGAGGAACAATGTCAGGGTCCTGTCCACGGCAGAAGTTCTGGAAGATCTGGCATTTCTGCCAGTACTCTGCATGGCCGGAGAAGTAAACATCAGCCTCAGTCTGGTGCCGGACAGCCTTTATAAGGAGGCTCATCAATCCCTCTAGTTGCTGGATGATCTCTAGCTCCCCGTGCCCTGTTCCTGGGTCCTGTGATTCTGACCTGTGATTTCCTGTTACCGATTTGGCTTGCTCCTGGACCTGTCTTCTCTGCCTTACCCCTGATCTGACCTCGGCTTGGCTTACGGATACTCTCTCTCGCTCCTCTGTGTATGACCTCGGCTATCCCATCTGACTACGTCTGCTCTGATTCCCACCCGGTACCTGACCTTGGCTTGAACCGACTACCCAGTACACATCTAAATCCCGGAAGGGCTTGCATACCACGCACAGGCGCCTCCTGTCTGCAGACCTATCTCCGTGCACCAGCTGTGCTTCTGAGTGGACTACCAACCAGCACTCCTACAGGCGTCCTGTGCAACTCTGGGCCTGACTCCCGCTGTCCCACTCTCAGGGGAGTCCGGAACTTAGCCGCAAGGGAAGCCCTCTCTCCACTGGCCTCCATCACCAGGTACCTGATAAACAAAGTCTATGTGTCATACCAACATTTGGTTTCCCGGTGCACTGGAGGGTATTGGGGCGTGCTCCGACATGCCTTTGATTATGAAAACCAACACCATATACAAGGTCATGATGGGGAGAAAGTTGGTAGTGATTGGAAAGAGGTTGGCACAGTTCTATGGGGCTGGTCTGGTGATTACGAAGGACGTAAGTTGGAATGAGGTCACATGGTTGTCTACAGATAAAACAACAAAAAAGAATCTGTATTGTCTACAGATAAACCTGGTGCAATAGTCTTGATTTCACTACTAGAGAATATAAAACATTTACTCAAGGGTTATGCAACTCACAAGCCATGTTAACCGAAAGCTCTGCCGGAACTGCCCACAGCAAATCCAAACTGAAAATCGACAGAGAATGGGTAATACAGACAGTTCCTCTTTCACTTGTCCTTTGGGGTTTAGAAGTACCAATGGGATAAAGAAGCCGCACACCATTGACATCACTGCCTACCATCAAACTTTACTGAACAGACACCACTTGCAGTTAGGCCCCACCTGGGAATTACTCCTCCGACACTTTTCACTCTCGTGGGCTTAATCATAAAGATCTAACGGCTAAGTACTTGAAGGTGAAACATGTCAGTTGGGACAGTTTCTAGGCAGGGACTTATGTCCATTCCATCAAGTTTAATGGAGGGAAGTAACACCACTAGCGTGTGTCTTCTCTGTTTCCTGTACGGCGCCTACACACAGTTAGTTCAAGCTCCTCGGTCTGGCACCCAATGCATCCACAGAGGGGAATGTTGGTGTTTGGAGCGGTGAGAGTTCCTTTAGATCAATGGGATAGCATTGGAAGTCAAGAAGTCCCAAAATTATTTTTTTCTTCTTCATTTTGAACAGAAAGCTCCAACAGTTGAAGTCTAGAGGGATATTTGGATTGTTCTCTTCCATGAGAGTCATTTGAACAGATACGAAATACACCGAGACCCTGAGAACCCCAAAATCTTATCCATCCAACCATCATGCTTCCTTCTCTGGGCACTAATGATGGAGATGCCTACTTACGAATAACACATCATGTAGCAGTTTGTACCTAAGCTGGACACTTTTGTCCATTCTAGTTACTAGTCAGTGATCTAGGAGACACAAAGATCCTTGTTCCAGGATTGGGAGGCAGCCAAGACTGTGGTGTAGTGACAGACCTCGGTGTGCCTATTCTCAGCCTGTATAATGGGGAGTTGGGTCGGGTCATTCTGGTGGCTGGGGTCCTTTTTCTTCCAATTATCGCTCCTTTGGTGCTACAAAAACCCCCAACAGTTGACATCTAGAGCAGGGGTGTCAAACTGGAGGCTCTCCAGCTGTTGCGAAAATACAAGTCCCATCATGCCTCTGCCTTTTGGAGTCATGCTCGTAACTGTCAATCTTGCAATTCCTGGGACTTGTAGTTTGGCAGCTGGAGGGCCACCAATGTGACACCTGTGACCTCGAGGGACATTTGGATTGTTTTCTGCTACAAGAGAGCAGTTTGGACATATACAAAGTTTCAGAATGATGGTGATCCTGTTTTCTTGTGTTCAGCATTTTCCTGCTTATGAAAAACTCATCCTGTAGCTGCTTGCACCTAAGCTGGACACATTTATCCATTCAGGGCCTGGGGGGGTAGAAGCAGTTCCACAGCTGGGGTCCTTTTGCTTCCAATTTCTTTCCTTTGGTGCTCCTAAACCCAACAGCTGAACGTTCCAAAATACACCGAGACCCTAAAAACCCTCAAATCTTATCCATCAAACCATCACACTCTCTTGCCGGGGTACTAATGATGAAGTCTACAGAGCATCCAGAAAGAATTCCCATCGCTTACCTTCTGCCACATTTTGTTATGTTCCGGCCTTATTCCAGAATGGATTACATTCATTTTTCTCCTCAACATTCTACAAACAATCCCCCATAATGACAACGTCAAAGAAGTTAATTTTGAAATCTCTGCAATTTATTAAAAAACCAAAACACATGTATATAAGTATTCCCAGCCTTTGCTCAATCCTTTGTTGAAGCCGCTTTAGCACCAATTACAGCCTCGAGCCGTTTGGAGGATGATGCTACAAGCTTGGCACACCTATTATAGGGCGATTTCTCCCATTCTTCTTTGCAGGACCTCTCCAGCTCCATCAGGTTGGAAGGGGAGCGTCGGTGCACAGCCATTTTCAGATCTCTCCACAGAGGGTCGTTGTCCTGTTGAAAGATGAACCGTCGCCCCAGTCTAAGGTCCATAGCGCTCTGGAACAGGTTTTCATCAAGGATGTCTCTGTACATTGCTGCATTCATCTTTTCTCCGATCCTGACTAGTCTCCCAGTTCCTGCCGCTGAAAAACATCCCCTCAGCACGATGCTGCCACCACCATGCTTCACAGTAGGGATGGAATTGTCCAGGTGGTGAGCAGTGCCTGGTTTCCTCCAGACATGACGCTTGGCATTCAGGCCAAAGAGGTCAATCTTTGTTTCATCAAACCAGAGAGTTTTGGTTCTCATGGTCTGAGAGTCCCTCAGGTGCTTTTTGGCAAACTCCAGGCGAGCTGCCATTTGCCTTACTGAGGAGTGGCTTCTGTCTGGCTATTCTACCATACAGTCCTGATTGGTGGAGTGCTGCAGAGATGGTTGTTCTTCTGGAAGGTTCTCCTCTCTCCACAGAGAAATGCTGGAGCTCTTTCAGAGTGACCATCGGGGTGCTCGGTCACCTCCCTGGCTAAGGCCCCTCTCCCTCGATCTCTCATTTTGGATGGGTGGCTCGCTCTAGGAAGATTCCTGGTGGTTCCAAACTTCTTCCATTTACGGATGATGGAGGGCACTGTGCTCATTGGGACCTTCACTGCTGCAGAAATGTGTCTGTACCCTTCCCCAGATCTGTGCCCCTTCCCCCGATCTGTGCCTTCATACAATCCTGTCTCAGTGATCTGTGGACAATTCCTTGGACCTCATGGCTTGGTTTGTGCTCTGACATGTGACCTGTGGGACCTTCTATAGACAGGTGTATGCCTTTCCTACTCATGTCCAATCAACTAACTTTCCCACAGGTGGACTCCGATCCGCTGAATGTCCCACAGGTGGACTCCGATCCGCTGAATGTCCCACAGGTGGACTCCGATCCGCTGAATGTCCCACAGGTGGACTCCAATCTGCTGAATGTCCCACAGGTGGACTCCAATCCACTGAATGTCCCACAGGTGGACTCCAATCAAGTTGTGGAAACATCTCAAGGATGATCATGGGAACAGGATGCACCAGAGATCTATAGTGAGTGTCATGGCAAAGGCTGGGAATACTTATGTCTATGTTTTTTTTTTTTTTAATAAACTGCAAAGATTTCAAAACAAACTTCTTTCCCGTTGTCATTATGGAGGATTGTTTGTAGAATGTGGAGGAAAAAATGAATTGAATCCATTTTGGAATAAGGCCGTAACAAACTGTGGCAAAAGTTCAGCGCTGAGAATACTTTCTGGATGCTCTGTATATACCGGGAATACTTTCTGGATGCTCTGTATATACCGGGAATACTTTCTGGATGCTCTGTGTATACCGGGAATACTTTCTGGATGCTCTGTATATACCGGGAATACTTTCTGGATGCTCTGTGTATACCGGGAATACTTTCTGGATGCTCTGTGTATACCGGGAATACTTTCTGGATGCTCTGTGTATACCGGGAATACTTTCTGGATGCTCTGTGTATACCGGGAATACTTTCTGGATGCTCTGTGTATACCGGGAATACTTTCTGGATGCTCTGTGTATACCGGGAATACTTTCTGAATGCTCTGTATATACCGGGAATACTTTCTGGATGCGCTGTATATACCGGGAATACTTTCTGGATGCTCTGTGTATACCGGGAATACTTTCTGGATGCTCTGTGTATACCGGGAATACTTTCTGGATGCTCTGTATATACCGGGGAGTACTTTCTGGATGCTCTGTGTATACCGGGAATACTTTCTGGATGCTCTGTATATACCGGGAATACTTTCTGGATGCTCTGTATATACCGGGAATACTTTCTGGATGCTCTGTATATACCGGGAATACTTTCTGGATGCTCTGTATATACCGGGAATACTTTCTGGATGCTCTGTTTATACCGGGAATACTTTCTGGATGCTCTGTATATACCGGGAATACTTTCTGGATGCTCTGTATATACCGGGAATACTTTCTGGATGCTCTGTATATACCGGGAATACTTTCTGGATGCTCTGTGTATACTGGGAATACTTTCTGGATGCTCTGTATATACCGGGAATACTTTCTGGATGCTCTGTATATACCGGGAATACTTTCTGAATGCTCTGTATATACCGGGAGTTACTTTCTGGATGCTCTGTATATACCGGGAGTACTTTCTGGATGCTCTGTATATACCGGGAATACTTCCTGGATGCTCTGTGTATACCGGGAATACTTTCTGGATGCTCTGTATATACCGGGAATACTTTCTGGATGCTTTGTGTATACCGGGAATACTTTCTGGATGCTCTGTGTATACCGGGAATACTTTCTGGATGCTCTGTATATACCGGGAATACTTTCTGGATGCTCTGTGTATACCGGGAATACTTTCTGGATGCTCTGTATATACCGGGAATACTTTCTGGATGCTCTGTGTATACCGGGAATACTTTCTGGATGCTCTGTGTATACCGGGAATACTTTCTGGATGCTCTGTATATACCAGGGAATACTTTCTGGATGCTCTTTATATACCGGGAATACTTTCTGGATGCTCTGTATATACCGGGAATACTTTCTGGATGCTCTCTATATACCGGGAATACTTTCTGGATGCTCTGTATATACCGGGAATACTTTCTGGATGCTCTGTATATACCGGGAATACTTTCTGGATGCTCTGTGTGTTATACTGGGAATACTTTCTGGATGCTCTGTATATACCGGGAATACTTTCTGAATGCTCTGTATATACCGGGAATACTTTCTGGATGCTCTGTATATACCGGGAATACTTTCTGGATGCTCTGTGTATACCGGGAATACTTTCTGGATGCTCTGTATATACCGGGAATACTTTCTGAATGCTCTGTATATACCGGGAATACTTTCTGGATGCTCTGTATATACCGGGAATACTTTCTGAATGCTCTGTATATACCGGGAGTACTTTCTGGATGCTCTGTATATACCGGGAATACTTTCTGGATGCTCTGTATATACCGGGAATACTTTCTGGATGCTCTGTATATACCGGGAATACTTTCTGGATGCTCTGTGTATACCGGGAATACTTTCTGGATGCTCTGTGTATACCGGGAATACTTTCTGGATGCTCTGTATATACCGGGAATACTTTTCTGGATGCTCTGTATATACCGGGAATACTTTCTGGATGCTCTGTATATACCGGGAATACTTTCTGGATGCGCTGTATATACGGGAATACTTTCTGGATGCTCTGTATATACCGGGAATACTTTCTGGATGCTCTGTATATACCGGAGTACTTTCTGGATGCTCTGTATATACCGGGAATACATTCTGGATGCTCTGTATATACCGGGAATACTTTCTGGATGCTCTGTATATACGGGAATACTTTCTGGATGCTCTGTATATACCGGGAGTACTTTCTGGATGCTCTGTATATACCGGGGAGTACTTTCTGGATGCTCTGTATATACCGGGAATACTTTCTGGATGCTCTGTATGTTACTCGCGTTCAGCATTTTCCTGCTTACGAATAATTCATTAAGCGGCCGTTGGCACCTAAGCTGGACACATTCTATGGACAGGCTGGTGATCTATCACTCCTAATAGGCCTGTCCACCCAACGACTCGATCTGAGTATCCCAACTGCCGGAAAAAACCACAGCCCACCACAGCACTTAACCGTCAATGTGCTAAATGGGGCCCCTAATGAGCAGCAGAGGCAGGAAGCAATCCATATAGACTTTCCTTTCCAGAGCCATCAACATACACAATGTTCTATCACAATCAGCCTCATGAGGGATGGGAAGCCAGAAGCTCATGTAACAGGCAGGCGGTGTGAGGCGCAGCGATGACGTGCAAAGTGCAGGAATCACATTTCGGCCATCAGAACAAAGGAAGGCGATTGGCTGCTGCAATGTTCACATCGCTCTTCAGCTTCAAAGTAGATGTAGACCCCAACTGATTGATGTGTAGTTTGCTAAAGTCGCCTTGTTTTCCCCTTTCATTGCCCTTTGTTCAGTCTTCGTGTTGCTGCAACCTCTTTGTAGCGACTTCCTGTCTGTGAACTCCAGCGATGGCGGCACGGTATTTCTCAGGGTGGGTTTCCGGATGGTGACAACAGTGGACCATGTCTGGGTAAGGTGTGTTGAAACAGCGGCTTGTAGTCTCCATTGGAAGCCCATATGGCAGAGTGACAACATATGAGCACAAACAGGAGATAGGAACAGAACGTTGTCACCCTAAGAGCCTGAACAACATTCTTCTTGGCAGGATCACTGGGGATTATGTTAAGACTCTCAGTCTCTGGAGGACCCCTATAAGTACATCGTAGTGTTTATGCTTTTTGGGCCGGTTACATGTCTGTGACGGGGTTGGCATGGAGTGGCGCTGACGTAAAGAGGTTGGAGCCACTCTCTGCCAGTACACTATGAATGAAGGGGCACCTTGTTGAAACCCCCTCAGGGCGGCGGGGTATGACACCCTGCACTCATAGTATGTCCATTAGGTGTCATTCAACCTGGAAGGCCGAGGGCATTTTGTGGCAGGGAAGAGGTACTGGGGACAACAGCATTGGACTGAATGTGAGTATTGTAGCTTCATCTGCTCTTTTTGGTTATGTTAAGAGCCGGGGGTCACCAAACTACGGCCCATTGGCTGAATCCGGCCTGAGGCAAGGCTTTATCTGGCCTTCTGATGTAAGGAGGGACTGATGGGGACTCTCATGTGTGAAGGACTCTGATGTAAGAGAGGGCCTTCAATGTAAAGCGGACTCCGATGGAGACCCTGATGCAAAGGGGGGCACTGATGGGGACCATGATGTAAGGCGGGGGGGCACTGATGGGGACCATGATGTAAGGAGGGACACTGATGGGGACCCTGATGTAAGGGGGGGGGGCACTGATGGGGACCATGATGTAAGGAGGGACACTGATGGGGACCCTGAGGTAAGGAGGGGGGACACTGATGGGGACCCTGAGGTAAGGGGGGGACTTTGATGGGGAATCTCATGTAAGAGATTGTAAGGGAGACTTTAATGGGGACCCCGATGTAAGGAGGAACACTGATGTAAGGGGGGGCACTGATGGGGACCCTGATTTAAAGGAGGACACTGATGGGAACCCTGATGTAAGGGGGGGGGACTGATGGGGACCCTAATGTAAAGGGGGACACTGATGGGGACCTTGATGTAAGGGAGGACACTGATGGGAACCCTGATGTAGGGGGGGGGGGGGAACTGATGGGGACCCTAATGTAAAGGGGGACACTGATGGGGACCTTGATGTAAGGGGGGGGGGGGACTGATGGGAACCCTGATGTAAGGGGGGGGGGACTGATGGGGACCCTAATGTAAAGGGGGACACTGATGGGGACCTTGATGTAAAGGGGGACACTGATGGGGACCTTGATGTAAGGGAGGACACTGATGGGAACCCTGATGTAAGGGGGGGGGGGGAACTGATGGGGACCCTAATGTAAAGGGGGACACTGATGGGGACCTTGATGTAAGGGAGGACACTGATGGGAACCCTGATGTAAGGGGGGGGGGGACATTGATGGGGACCCTGATGTAAGGGGAGACTTTGATGGGGAACCTCATGTAAGAGATTGTAAGGAAGACTTTAATGGGGACTCCGATGTAAGGGGGTATTCTGATGGGCTCAAGTTCGTTTGGAATTTCTTTTTCAATCTTTTAAATTTGATTTATTTCTTTACATAACTGATTTCGGCACATAAATATCTGTAAAACTATACACTGTGGCCCTCGCACTGAAGAGTCTGGAGGCCCCTGCTGTAAAGAGGCTGCCACCTTCTCTGGATCTGGAAGCCCAAGCTTTGTGCCATTGCCATGTTGGATGCTGCCAGAGCTTGCACATGATTAAGGCCTTCTGAATCCTCTTGTGATGGGGCCCGAGCCTGGTGATTGGCCGCTCAGGCCTGAGCACTGCATCCTCGGAGGAGGTCACAGCTCCCTCATACTCGGGGGGGTGGGTACATTTGGGTTACCTGGGTCATGGGAGCTCTGACAGCTTTATGAAATGAACACTAACATCGGTCAGACGTAGTCACTGCGCCTCCTCACCTCCGGATATTAAATACGCCTAAAACAGGTCTGCTATTGGACAAACGCCACAACGCCTCACAGGTCAGACGGACAA